TGCAGAGGAACTACGCAAAAAGCAAATGAATCTGGTGTGGCAGAAACCCATACATTCCAGAGATCAGGGCGACTCGGGCTCTGTGTCAGTCACGGCGTGAACTAGCAGTTCAGAAGTGCTGTTTGCAACGTAGATGGAAATCTTGAAGGCATAGTGGTAGGCAGAGAATTCATGAACCAAAAACCAAACTGCATGGGAAATACTTCAAAGAATCAGCAAATGGATCCCATCTTATTAAAAAGGTTTTGCATTTCAAAAGAAATCACTAACAGGGTAAAAAAGAAAACCCACGAGCTGGGAAAAAAAACTTTAGCCAATGGTCCCTCAGACAAAGAACCTCTATCTAGAACATATAAAGAATTTTTAAAAAATCAAGCCCTCAGATTCAGAGACTCAATTCCAAAATAGGCATCTGAGAGGAATACACACTCTCAGATGAAGAAATACAAATGGCAAACAACTGTATGAAAAGATGTTCAACATTATTGGTCATTCGTGAAATACAAATTAAAACAACACTGAGATTCCATCTCACACCAAAAGAATGGCTATTATCAAAAAATCAACCAATAACCAACATGGAGGGGCTGTGGGGGAAAGAACCCTTCCGCACTGTTGGTGGGAGTGCAGACTGGTGCGGCTACTGTGGAAATCAGTGTGGAGATTCCTCAAAAAACTAGGATTAGAGGTCCTATTTGATCCAGCTATTCCCCTTCTGGGTATTTTCCTAAAAGAATAGAAACATCATACCACAGTGATATATGTGTACCCATATTTATAGCAGTACAATCCATTTGGAAACAATCCAAATGCCTATCAACCAAGGAATGGATAAAAAAGATGTGGTATTTTTATACAATGGAGTACTACTCAGCTATAAAGACAGATAAACTCAAGGCTTTTATAGGTAAATGAATGCACCAGAGACCATAACTCCTTTGATGGGGGTTTATGCCTGAAAAACAAAAAAATCATTTTTCCTCTTCTTAGTTCTTCCCTTTGAAAGCATGCGTGGAATGTTCTTTCTCTCTCCCAACCAAAGCACGTGTGCAGTGCGGTCAGTTGCGAGAGCCTTTCGTCAGGAAGGAGAAAGGTCCTTGCGTGGGCTTGGGAGAGGCATCCGTGGTCACTGGGTCCAGTCCACTGCTTGATGCAGAAGGTCCTCCTCGTGTGGTTCTCCTGGCTGGCACACATCCCCGGGGCCTGCTCAGGCAGTGTCACTGGGGACAGTGCAGAGAGACACCCAGCACCACCTCACCACATCTGTTACCTACCTGCACGCCTGACCCATACCATCCTAGCGACTTCTCCTCAAGGGTCAACACTGTCCCTCCCTGCTAGTTTCTGGGCCTTGCAGCACCCTGGTCGTCCTCTGTCTTCTGCCCATAGAACTGAACCCACAGCATCCAGTGTGATCTCATTAGCGCCGAGAGCAGGGATCCTTGAACTCCCGTTGTTCTGCTCATCTCGCTTTCATTAATGCAGCCTAAGTTTTAAAATAGCTGTTTCCTCAACTTTCAGTGATTTAACACCAACGCTGAAGACATCTAAGTCTGAGACCTTTTTTCTTCCGTACCTTGAGGAGCCTGGTAGTCCACATCCTGTAAATGGGAAGCGATGCTGTCTGGTTTACATTTATCCCACTAACTCTCTTCTTGAGGGCTTTGGCCCCAAAGTCTCACCCTGTTTTGAGAAATTTCTTATGATTCATTTGAGCGAACATGTTTGGCTACCACTTACAAATTGCTTACTTTCAAGTTATTTCATCATCGAATTCCCAAGTGACATTTAGGTCATCTCCATTTCAAAACAGATCCCCTGGGAGGGCACCCTGGCTCTCTGATTGGATCCTTCGAGAACTCCAGGTAGGCCCCGGTCTTGGGCCTCTGGCCCATGCATGCCATGGGGAGAACTCTCCTCTGCCCTCCTGCTGGTGGCCTGGGCCAGTGTCAGGAGGCCTGGGCCGCTGAACGTAATCCGTCACCCTCACACCTGCTGGGAAACAGCCCCAGTGAGCTGAGTGCGGGGAGCCCAGCAGATGGTTGGGTGGATTCCATGTTGGGCGAGGAGCAGGGAGCTCCTCAAGGCGGAGGCTCTTGCTTCTCCCGCCTCGGACTCTGCGCCAGCTGTCAGCAGCTGGACACTGGAGAGACCCACATAGCAATTAGCATCCCATTTGTCAGGGGCTGTCAACTCTGAAAAACAAGAGCCACGGCTGACATGTGGGGAGTGCGAGCTGCTGTGGTCACTGTGGTGAGCTCTTGGTTATGTGAAAGCTCTCTCTTCCCTACTACGTATCAGAGGGTGTTACCTCTGCCTCTATGGTCTTGCTACCGCAGAGTCCAATCCACCCCACATTTCCCTAGAGCACTGCGGGGCAGGGTCCAGATGCCAGTGTAGCACAGGACCAAATGGTATCAAGCCTCTGCCAGACCATTCTGATGCGAGGAGGTGAGAAGATCCGGTCCACGCTAAGGGCTGCCCACCAGAAAGCCTGCCCTGGGGGCGACTTCTGTCCTCCACTATCCAGGGGACCCTCACATGCTTGGGCTACTTAATTCATAATAGACAAAGACTGGAAACTACGTACATGCCCACCCACAAGAGAAGAGATGAACAAAGAGAGGCTTATAATAGAATACTACTCAGCAAAAGAGGAAAACAGCACGGAGAGGGAGCTGGTTATGGCCATCAATCTGGACAGACCTTACCCGAACGGGGAGTGAAATATACCAGAAACAAAAGGGAAAGAGAGTCTCGCCTGGCCCAGAGCCACTGAGTGTAAAGTATAAACTTCATTCTTCCTGCACTTTTATAATTTAACAGTTCCATGCCTGTTTCTGGGTCTTGGGCAGAAAACCAGACCCTCTCTAAGTCTCCCTCATCCATTATTGATGGGGAAAGACAGGCTCAGAGCAGAGCCTGGGCTCCACTTGGGTCCCATCTCTCAACTCCGTCCTCATCCTTCTCCTTCCCTCCTAGTGAACAGGGTAAGGAAAGCAGAGAGGGGGACTTTATTTTTAGGTAAAGTAAGATTTCACCACATTTCACCAACTGTCTTAGTCCATTTGTGCTGCAAAAAGGAATGTGTGAGGCCGGGTCATTCATAGCAAACAAATGTATTTCCTTCCATTTTTGCAGCTGTGAAGTCCAAGATCAAGGCACTGACATCCAGGGTGGCCTCCTCACTGCATGCAGGTGGCAGGAGGCCAGGAGGGGACAAATGCTGAGTCTTCGAATGTGAGGAGGCAGAAGAGGGACAGCCACTCCCAAACCCCTCTTTATAGCCTCACCGATCCCCACCTCCCAGCACCTTGTATCTGGGATTATGTTTCCATCATGGGCATCCGAGGAGACAGACTGAGGCCACAGCACTAACTAAGCTGCCCTATTTCTTGCTGAAATGGGCATCTCTGCGCTGAAGATCCCTGGCTATCATGCTCTAAGCATGCTCCTGGCTACTTTTTAAGATTCCATTCCTAGGGATACCAGTGAATTGATGGGTGAGAAAAACATCACTGTTGGAGAGAGTAGAAGAGGAGGGGATGCTGGTGGCTCTAGCTTGGTTGGCTAGGGGTCAGTTCCAGCTCTGCCCTTACAGACTGCAAGACCTGGGACAAGTCATGTGATCAGTCTCCTTCCCACAGGCTCAGTAGCAGCATCTGCCTCAGGCTTGCTCTAGAGGCCCTTCCGGTGGCAGCCCAGGTGCCATACCCCAGCTTCAAACAAGCCGCAGTTCAAAAATATTTTTAAAAATCTTATCTGTATGGAACATGTGAAATTTTTTCTTCCTCATTGTTCCCAAAACAATACAGCACATCTATTTACACTGCATGTTGTCTAAGACATCTAAAGATGGTTTAAACTCTATGGGACGAGGCATAGGTTATGTACAAATACTATGCCACTTTACATAGAGGCCCCAGCATCTACGGATGTTGACATCCATGGGGGTTCTGGAGCCCAGGGAGACCGTCCAGGTTAAGTGTGTTCATGTTCTCCCTCTTCCCTTTCTCCTCCTCCTGCCCTTCCGCCTCTTGTTATTCTTATAATTATGTGATTACTGCTTCTCTCTCCGGGAAGCATCAGGCTTCAAGCTGCAGCAGTGAGGAGGAACAAGCTCCGAAAATGACTCAGGCTTCTCTGACTCAGCTGTGGGTTGGCCGACGTGCCACGGGCAGAGCTGAGCCTGGCCAAGACTGTCTGTTCGAAGTCTAACTCTGAATGTTAGCCAGTAACGGAGCCAGATGTACGGAGGTTACATTCCAAGCTCTCCTCTGGTATTTTGAGGCAAAGTCTCACTATGTATTTTAGCCTGGGCTTGAGGTCACTTGTGAACCCCAGGCTGGCCGTGAATTTGTGGCAATCCTCCTGCCTCAGCCTCCAGAGTGCCAGCATTATAGGTGTGTGTAATCACCCATGTCCATCTCGAATCTTTCTGAAAATCACAATTGCTCGAGTTATTTTTGCTCACTCACGTTCGGCTTCCTATATCAGATGACAAGTCCCTCACAGCCAGCCTGCCTTTCTTACCCTGTGCTCCCCTGTGTCGGGTTAATGCTCCATAAACTGTGTTTTTGCTGCTGATTATGTTGAGCTCAATTTTGGGAAGTTTCCTTAGAGGTCTGAGGCATTCTTATGAATATGTCTCATATTCATAAGAATATAAGGGTGGCCAGTCTGTGTCCTTCAGGGGTGGACAGGACTTCAGAAAAATATATAGTCATTTCTACACCAAGTTGGTGAATGAATTGAGCAACGCCAATTCTGTTCTACAAATAAATTTGCAGTACGGGTTCTTCTACCCGGCTCCTAGGCCAGGTCTAGCTGCCATGCCCGAGGAGTGGTCCAGAGAATATTTTGAACATCTTCGATCGCCGATCGCCGATCGCCGGAGACCCAAGGCCAAGCCGTCATGCCGAGAGCGGCCACTAGAGGGGGGCCGTGCTCCAGACCCCACGGGCGCAGCCTCCGCGGTCGCTCCTGGAGCTTTTATAAAGAGTTCCTGCAGCCGGCCACTCAGTCAGAACTCCCAGAAGTGCCGGTGCCTCCACGGGACATCTCCAGGTCGCTGCCCGAAGCTGACAGGGACGAGGCACCACGCAAGGGGTCCCAGGAGCAGACTCTCCCTGCCCCGCCGCCTGCTTGAGTCTTGCCTCTGAGCCTGGTCCTCCTGCACGAGGGATTCTGGCCCTGGTCTGGGACAAGTCACCAGGTGCCCCCGCGACCTCTTTTTATGACTCCGTCTGGCCTTGGCTGGCTGTGGGGACAGGCTCCGAGGGGCTGCTTGGGTCTGAGCGGGACTGCAGCCGGCTCTGCGAATTCCACCTCGAATGCTGGGAACTGAGCGCCAGGCTCTGTGGCCTCAACGGGGGCGTCAGGTGAGTCTGGGCACTGACTTTGTCCCCGCGTCTGTGGGGGTGTGGGCTCCGTGGTGGCGGCTCTGCCCCGATTTCCTCATAGCTCCGCAGCCTGTTCAGGGAGCAGGTGGACAGGACAGCCTCCCTGCGAGTGCTGTGTGCGCACGCCTGCCACGCAGTGCAGCGGGTTGGGACCTTTGATGCTCACAGTCGTTTATAAAACTGGCTGCAGGCCTCCAGGTGCGGCTACGCTCAGGTTCCCTAAGTACAGTGACAGGAGGAAAGGGCTTGCTGCCTCCTCAGCAGTTCTCTCTCTGTCACCTTCCTAGCGATTTTCACTGAGTTTGGATGAGTGAGTCGAGGAGTCCAAGGAAGCCGGAGCCCTGCAGAGTTAGAGGCTGGACAGGCACCGGCTTGGCAGGAAGAATTCACTCTGTCGTTTGGATGCCTGGCGAAAGACTTCGAAAGTCAGGGTCCCCACCCAAGCCCCAGGCAGAATTCACAGTTGCTCTTTGCAAAGCAAACCCAGCATAGCTTGTTTTGGGGACTGGCTCAGGGGACCTGAGACTGTTTACCTGGTGGAAGGGTGTTCTCATCAGACTGCCCCCATCTGGTGTGAGGCTCTCCAGCTGCATGGACCCTGAACCACGCAAGCAATGCACTTGGGCTGAGTGAGGTCAGGCACCGGGCTGTGTCCCTGGGTGACTGAGGAGAGAAGGAGCTGGGCTAGAGTCCTGGTCCTCTGAGCACCTGGTGCTCACAGGTCTGCACAGAGTGGGTGTAGGAGACTGAGGGCTTTTGCAGCTTTCAGCTGCAGAGTCTAAGGGGCAAACCCAGTCTCTGACCTGCCCAGTAAGTGTCTTGGGCATCATCACCTGGCAGTGAGCATCTCCCTGGAGAAATCCATGGAGTGCCCCTCCCTGCTTGCAGGGTGGCCTTATTCCAGTTCCAAATGCTGAGGTCCAGGCCCTCAGGCTTCGTTCCCAGGTCCCTGTGGCCTCCACACCCAGCATATGTTTCCCCTCTTAGCTCTCAGAGCCTCCCTTGGCCCTGGGCCCTGCCTGCTGGGGTGTGTTGCTGGCCCTCTGGGGTTTGACCCTCTTCACTGCCTAGTTTGGGACCCTGAAGGTGGCCACAGGCATATCCTAGGCAAGGCGCCCTGCAGTTGAGCCAGGCCCTTGGTGAGAAACCCCTGTCCAGTGTCTCCTTCTTGATGTCCACTGGTTCTTGCTTCTTGGGTTTCAGTTGGCATCTTTAAGATGGGAATCATGGAAGGACAGTGCACCTGCCTGCCCCTTGCTGTGCTCCTGAAGGAACCCTCAGGACAATGCCAGGGCAAAAGGTCTGGTACCCCTCAGTCCAAGGCACACGCTAGCTGTTTGCACTGTGGCTGCCATGCTGGACAGACAGCTGTGCCTTGCCAAGAGCACAGACTTGGCCCAGAGCTGATAAAGACCCATGAGCTGAGGGCCAAGTTCCTGTTCCTCAAGCTCCCCAAGAGGGAAAAACAGTCCCAAATAAAACCAGGACAGCAGAACGAAGTGCCTAGCTCTCCCTTCCGAGTACAAACAGCTGAGTGTTTCCAAGCCCATCTCTCTCACATCTGGCAGCCCCAGCCCTCTCCCCTGTCCCTCTCCACTCCTCTCTCACCAGCTAAAGGGTGGTGGGGAGGAGGCAGAGGAGGTCTCCAGAGGAGGACCCCTAAGGGCCAGATACCAGGTCTGTGTGTCCAGGAAAGGAGGAGGTGCAACAAGAACAGTATTGGTACCCCACCCCACAGGGACAGCAGCACCCTATCTGTCTTCCCTGATGACCTCTGGCCATGACTGCTGTTGCCTTTGGCAGAGCGAGGGTTATCACAGGCTGAGGAGACACTTGCCCAGGAGCCAGGCCAAGGGAGAGGCGCTGTCCAATGATGGAGCAGAGCAGTACGGTGCTCCACCTAGAGGCCCTTGCTGGGCGGAGGCTGCGCACAGAAAACATCAGAGCAGGAGGCCTGGAGAAGCTGGGTGGGAGGGATCTGGCCAGGCGGAGAGACCCTGCCAGAGCCGAGAACCACCCTTTCTCCTGGCCTTCCTACAGCTGCAGGAAAGGCCCAGGAGACAGCGCCCCCATGTGTGTGCAAGTGCATGCACATGTATGTACAAGTGAATCTGTGCTAGGATGTGGGGGATCAGTACTGGAGCAAACAAGAGTGGAAACCTCATGCTTGCTTCCTCACTGGACTTTCTCTACCCTGAAACCAGGGGTCTCTGTAGACCAAGCTCCAGTCTGGAAAGCAGGGCTTTCCCAGGTCCCCTTCCCATCAGCCTGCCGCGCCCCCTCCCCCTAGAGCAGACTGATCCTGGACCCACAGGCCACGCCCCCCACACCTGCCAGGCACTGTGGCATGGCCTCCTAGGGCACGGACCTCTGCGTGCGCCTCAGGTTATGCGGGACCTGAGATCCAAACTCCTGGAATGTTTCATCTTCTAGAGAATTAATTTATTTAAACAGACCTAGGTGTGCTAGCGCACACCTGTGCTCCCAGAACTCTGGGAGGCTAAGGCACAAAGCTCAGAAGTTCCAACCCAGCCTGAGCACCCAGTGACGTAGTGAGACTCTGTCTCAAAATAAAATTTAAAAAAACGTTGAAAGGCTGGAACTGCATCTCAGTGTGACGGCCCTGGATTCCATCCCCTGAGCATATACGTGAGGGTAAGGACACAAAGTGTTTCACAATTATGTAAATAAATATTTTGTCATCTTTTATTTTTTAAAAAAGGATTTTTCTCATTATACAAAGAATGTAAACTCAGAAAATCTGGAAGCAAAATGAAATAGACCACTCACCATCCCTTCCGGCCAGAGGCCTCAATGTCCAGCTCACCCTGGGTCCCCAGCAGGAAGATGGCCTTCATGTCACAGGGTGTGTCTTAGCAAATGTGCACACTGCCAGGCACACACACACACACACACACACACACACACACACACACACAGAAAGCAAGCTCCCCCTCTCAGCTTCCGTGGCTCCAGAACTTGTGTCTTCACAATGCACCCGTGTGTTTGGTTCCCCCAATCCAGCAGGAGCAAAGCCCGGGCCTCTCTCTTGGGTACCCTTGGGGTAGCAAGATTGGCTCCCAGCCCCTGCCTAACATGGCCACAATGTCCCCAGCCCAGGGCTGCAGCCAAGTGTGACAGCTATTGCAAAGAAGGGACAGAGCTCACAATCAGAAAGGCCCAGGGCAGTGAGCACTGCAGGGGTGTCACTGGATCCCCGAGTCCTGGAGAGTGGTGTCTGGTTGCTTTGATGACAAGAGGGTCCTGGTGCTTAGGCTCAGGGTGACATGGTGCTGGGTGCTTTGTTTAGAGCATTGGTTTCCATATCCACCTGTGCTCAACTCTCCCTTCCCCCCGATCTGTGCTGTTGCAGGACTTGATGGAGAACAAAGCCATGTACCTGCACACCGTGAGTGACCGTGACACCAGCTCTGTCTTTGAAGAGCCCTTTGATGGCCGGAGCCTGTCCAAGCTGAACCTGTGTGAGGATGGTGAGTGCTTCAAGCCACATCTCAGTACAAGATCAGCAGGGCCATTGCAATGGGATGCTGGTGACCTTGCCGTCCGGAACTGCCTGTGTTGATCTTGAGCCTTGAAATGTTTTGGGGGTGTTTTCCGCTCATTCACCTCACTAGAGCCATGCAGACATCTGGCTAAGTTCCCATTTACAGATGGCTAAGCCAAGCTGAGTGCAGCATGGGGAACCCATGGCTGGTTGGTCACAGAGAGTTCCCAGGACTGAGTGTCCCAACAGCTTGGTCAGGGCTTTGCCTCTAGACAGAGGCTGGGGCCAGATGAGGGCATCCAGCCACTCAGGCCAGACCCTCTTGATAAGCGGAGGAGCCTCCAGCCCATCATCACCCAGAAGCATTCACGAGATGGTAGTGTGCCTGCCCCACCCTGCAATGGGAAGGGGACCTCGAAGACCTCTCCGCGGAGAGGAGGCTGCCCGGAGACAGCTCCCCACACCGGGACCAGGTGGAAATGTGTGTGGGTGTTGAGGTCCCGCAGGGAGATGGCTTTCTGGAAAAGGCCCTGGAGACTGAAAGGGACTTTATAGAAGAGGTGAGGAAAACTCCTGCCAGCTTGTTCCCTGCTGTCAGAAAGACCCATGGGGCTGGCCCCACCAGGCACAGCGGCCAAGTGATAACAATCCATGTCCTTCACTTGGCTGTGTCCCCATTGCACACAGTTAGGGATCTGGTTTGGTCAGAAAGAACTGCAGGTGGCACAGTGGGGTGCCCGGGGGATCACTGTGGCCAGGCTTGGGTACCAGGGGGCCAAGGCTGGGAAAGCGCAGTGAAGGCAGCAGAGCCTGGGGTCCCTTCTTGAGGCCTCAGTGACTTGATCTGCCAAGTGGGGATGCAGAAGGTCTCACTGAGGTCTCATCTAGTTTCACGACCTGTGTATAGAAACAGACCTGGCTGTTGCATTAGGGACCTGCTCCTCTGGCTCCTGTAACAAGAGCACAGGCTGGACAAGGGAGGCCTTGCTGTTTTACTCACAGCTGCCTCCCTGCTGGCCCAGCATACAGTAGGTGTCCACTAAGGCTTGCATGAATAAACTAAGGAATGCGTGCATGCACTAAGGAAAGAATTCGTGAACAACCTAACGAGTGAATGGATGGGCAGCCAACCGAGCAGTCCTCAAAATCTCCAGGCAGCAACACAAACACCTTCCCAACCTGATTTCCAAATTTCCTAGGTCTCTTGCACTCTGCTCCTGGCTGCCAGGTGCCGGTGCTGGGAGGGAATAAGAAATCAGATAGAGCATCGTGGAGATGAAACCAGCTTCCAGAAACTCCTGGGCTTCTGGCTTGACTTCCTCCTTCTCTTTCATTTATATGAGAGAAGTGGGGAGTTTGACTTGGAGAAGTTCAAGCCAGGCTTGATCTCTTGCCAGAGGGCTTCACAGCTCCTTTGATCTTCATTGCTAGAAGTAAAAGAGAGAGGGGAGGAAGGTTGGGCCGGGCGAGGAGACGGAGGAGGTGGACGTGGGGAAGGGAGCACGGCTGGCCAAGGCCACCCTGCCTGCTTGCAGGAAGGTGTTAGGTCTGGGAGGGGTGCCAGCTTCCTTAGGGGACCCCTCCTGAGAGGTAGGGTGGAGGAAGCAGGGGAGAGACACACTTCCTGGTCGGAGGCTGGCCCTGGGGTCTTGGCACTGGGACAAAAAGTCCCCAAAGTGCAGCCCAGCTACTCAGGTGTGACCTTAATGACAGCAGGCTGTAAACACGTCATGGCAGATGGAGTCATATCCTGGTTGTACCCTTTCTGGCCATCTAAGTTTCCAGGGTCTGTCTGGGCCCTCTTGTCCTCCCTTGGTACTCTTAAAATGAAAGCTTTCCTGAACCTTCCTGTTCCGGGCCTTTGTGCCCTCCTGGGGCTGCCCTCCCTCTTTACCCTGTATCTTCTCCCTGTGGCCCCCAGTCTCTGGCTGATGGCACCTGCTCCTTATGCTTGGATGCCTGCCTCAGAGCCCTGACATCTCACATGCCATCTGTGTCCCTGCCGGGCTGCTGTGGTCCCCCACTTCACAAGCCAGCAAGATCCTTGAGGCCAAGGTGGGCGCTCAGCCCTTCTGGGGCTCTGCTGGGGCCAGGTACCTCGCAGACTCCAGGAAATCTATTAGCCATCCCCTGGCCTGGGGGCTCCTTCCCTTGAATTCCGAGTTCTTTCCTGGGGAAGGAATTTGAAGGTGCCAAGTTGCTGGTCCTAAGTAACTCCCCTGCCTCTGGATTTGGATCCAGTGGAGGAATGGACTAGAAGCCAGGTGGGAATTGAGCTATGGAATCTGTCCTATGCCTGGCAATGCTAGATTCTGGGTGTGGCTTACATGGTGGAGCCCTAGGCTGGAATTCCTGGGGAAAAGCCATTCCCCCAGCCGGCAAGCAGGCACGCCTGCACTTGGCACTGTCCCGCTGCACTTGGATGGGAGATGGAGATGTGGGGTCACAGGCAGCTTATCCACTGTGCGAGGCTACTCCTCCTGGGAGGGTGGAGGTGCTGAGAATAGGCCTTTTTGCCCAAGAAGAAACTCCAGAGAGTGAAAGAGTTCCTGTAGCTGCTGGGACTGGGGCAGGATAAGGGAGAGGATGGGTCATTTTGTCTACCTCTGGGTGTGTCTCCCACATTCCTGAAGGCCCCTTCCATGACCCTTCCACTGCACCCTTGGAGAACTCCCCTAGAAACCCTGCTTTCTTCCCCTGCATCTCAGCCATCAGTACCCACCTGGGACCCCTCTGCTGATGAGGAGGGCTGGGGGCAGGGCTGTCCCCTTACCTGGTACCTCACAGGTCGTCACAGAGAGGCTCCTTGTAGCCAGAACTGTTTAGAAGGGCCAATCCCAGAGGTGACCTGGAAGGACCACAGCCACACTGGCTCTGATGGCCCGCTCACGCCTCCCTCCAAACCCAGCCCCACCAGGGTCCCCTCCCCCTCCCTAGCGCTGCTCCCTGCTTTATCCTCCCGTGTAGCCGGGGATCTCTCCAGTTTGGCACTGGAAGTAGAGGCCAAGGCCTTCAAGTGGGTGGTGCCTGGCTGGGCCCAGTTTCTGGCAGCACTTTCCCAGGGCCTGAGAGAGGTGTTAGTGTCAGAAAAATATTATGGTCCCACTGGCCCCGTGGCCTCAGCCCCTTCACCACACCCGTGGCGTCATCCGTGGTCACAGATGGGAAGCTGGCGGATGTAATGACTTACACATGCTCCTGGCTGCACGCTAGGTCCAGGGGCTCCCCCTTCCTTCCCCATAAAATTCAATTATTCTCCTGGGGGAGCCCCCTCCTTTATCTTCCCATCCATCAAGTGTTCCTGCTTCATTTGGTGCAGCTGAGGCTGTGAGCAGCTGCCCAAAGCTGGAGTGGGCTTCCAGGAGGACCTGGGAATGCCCCCCACGGGGTCATCACCCTCTGAAGATTGGAGAAGCCCATCCTGGGGCAGAAGGAGCATGGAGGGATTAACTCATTCTAGTTGTAGCATGGTTGGGGAAGCGTCCTGCCAGACCAGAGCAGAGAGCCATGCGCTGGCAGATAAGGCTGTGGCCCAGGAGGAGGTAGCGGCCAGGTGGCCTCATTCCTGGTCTCTCTTGCTGGTTGGGGGCAGCTTGGTGAATGAGAAGGGCTGGACATTGCAGGCCCAGGCTGGAATCTATGGGCCACGCACAACCTGAATCTTGGGCACATAGCTCGGGCCTGGCCCTGGGCAGTGCTATCCCTCTCATCACTATCTTGCACCCTGCTCTCTTCTTTTCTGGGTTTGGCCATGGGGGAGCCCTGGCAGAGGCTGGAAGGAGAAAAGACAGGGGGCCATCCCTCAGGCCCACCCCACAAGGTCATCTTGGGCTGGGAGTCCTCTTAGTGTGGTGGTCTCCTTCTGGGTTCCAGTTACTGCTCCCCAGCCCTGAGTTTTGGGGCTACAAGTGGCAGTGATGTGAGGACACCACTCTGTCCCTTGTGGGCATCTTGACCTTGGCCACACCTTTACATGTATTGACCCTGCGAAGTCATCATGTCAGAGTGAACCATCTGCTTCCCCCAGGGTCCTTGGCCCCTGGTGCTAGGAGACCTCATCTTCTAAAAAACAATAATGTCACTCATACCCATCCCAGGACTGCGGGAGGATGCGTATCGGTTGGCAGAGTGTAGCTGTAAGTTGTCAGTGAGTAGAAGTTGACTTTGTCCTCTGGTGTCCTAGGATTATGGTTCCTCACTCCTGTGTTTCTTAAGCATTTCTGGGGTCACAAGGGAAGCTGTCTTCCGCTTGTAGGTTTATTATGTTAGGGATCCCAAAGGCAGTCAGCAGGCTAAAGGCAAGAGGTCATGGCTTTGTAGGGAGGTGGGTGTGGTGAGGCCTGCCAACCTCATGGATGCCCAGGGCAGTCTCTGGTGGCCTTAGTTTTCAGGGTGTGCCCTTGGCTTTTGAGTTGTGACTGACTACCCAGTGAAGGAGGTGCTATTTTAATCAGGAACATAAAGAGGGTTGGCCCTGCTACTCTATTCCTGGTACAAAGCCTTGTTTGTAGGCCCCAGATTCCAGCGCACAATGAACTTATCGAGGGCAAATTTCCTATATTTGGCAAATATTCCCAAAGGAAATTCAAAAACAAAACAGCCACAGGAAACAAAAGCAAAGTAAGTGGTCAAGAGGAGGAATTCTGGACCAGGGATTCTGGTGTAGGTACCTGCCTAGCAAGTGTTTGATAAGTTTGATGTCCAGTACCAAAAAAAAAAAAAAGAAGAAAAGAAAAAAGTTTTTAAGGGCCAAGGATTTAGCTCAGTGGCACAAGTGCCTGCCTGACAATTGTGAGGTCATGAGTTCGATCTCTGGTACCCGTCTCCCCCCAAAAACAAAAACAAACAAAAAAAGAGGAAGGATTTTGCAGTGTCTTGTGCCCTGAATGCAGTCTATAGGGATAACCAAGACAGACAAAGCAGACAGCCCCAGGCTTTTCCTTGGGAATGCCTATAACAGCACCCCCCCCCTCCCATTCAAGAATG